GTGAGACGACATGAGGGGCTCGGTATTTCGAGCCCCGCGGCATGGTCCAGGGCTGGCTGACATTCCTCGAGGTCGACTGGCACGAGCGCGGAAGGGAGTTTTCGGACTTCCCACGGCGCCGAGGCTCTGGCATCGCAAGCTCGGGCCGGAGGCCTCTCGGTCGGACCGAGCCTTCCTGGTGCGGCACGACCCGAAGACGAAGAAGCGTCCGCCCAGACAGTCTGCGGGGATGCGCGTGCGCTCGCGCGGGCGATTTCCTCTGCAACGAGAAGATGGCGATGGTGTTGGACGAGCTGGGCAAAAGGTTTGGCTGCGGCGCTGAGGAGCACGATGGTGTTGCGTTCTGCGGCAGATGATTCATGCGCCAACCTGGAGAAGCCATTCATATGGAAGTGATGGAGTATGCTGCTGGCCTGGAGCCTATGACTGCGCCCAGGGCCCGCAGAGCTGCGCCGCGCCTTCCGACGAACGCGACATAATGGAAGCCGCACTAGCAGGTCGCTGGCAAGATCAATTGGCTCGTGACGAAGATATGCGTGGACTGGTCCTACGACTTGGCGGCGTTGCAGCGCGAGGAGGGCCGGGAGAAGGGGCCTGGGATCGCGGCCTTAATTGAGGCGAACGAAGTGCCGCGGGAGCTGAAGGGAGACCCCACCTTCCAGCTCGCGATGCGCCCGATTGGCCTGAACAGGTTCAGCTGGTGGTGGTCTTGGGCAGTTCGCTCGGCAACGCGATGAAACGTGGCGCTGCGCTTCAGCCCGACACGGCCACCGAGAAGAGTGGCGCCCTGGGCAGCTGCCTGATCTTGTTCGCGGGCAAAGAGCTCGTGGACGGCGGTGTCGGCCGTTTCTCCCTGCTGGAAGGCAAGAGGCCCAAGCTGAATCTGGCCGCGAGGAGCCCCTGCGAGGCCGAGATGGTCGCGGTCGGTGGCGCGGCGGACGCGGTCCAGGCTAGCAGATCCCGATGACTGTCGCGACGAACTACGAAAGCGGCCGCGATCGGCTGAACTCGGACGCCGGCGCGGGCAGCTCAACTCAGGAGTCGGTGAATTTGGGGCTCGCCAGCGTCGACGAGATTCTGGGCCAAACTCAGACGACGGTAAGATGGACTGATGGAACAAACAGGCTGAGCGATCTGCCGACGAAGGATCTGCCCGCGGACTATTTGCGAGAGGCTCTGCGTCGCGGCACGTGAAGCACTGAGCTTCGTGAAGAGATGGCGGAAACGGCCAGGCGCGTGGCCCGCCAGCGCCGGGAGGCGCGCGCGAGGGAGCTGGCCGAGGGCGGGCAGTTCGCGCCAGGGGCTCGGGAGACATAATCAGGACCTCTCTCATTATCGTTCCTGCTTCCCCTTGCGCGGTGGCGTGCCGAGGCGGAGGCATGATTAGCACGCTCGAACACAACGCTTCGCTCGCACACCTGCCTGCCCTGTTTCCCCACTCTCCGAAAACGGACATCCGCACGACAGCGTTTGCTGCGAGAAAATGTAAAGGTGATAGCTTTGAGCAACAGTCCTACATCTATTTTATATGTATACATACATTTGCGGATGGCCCCCCGCGCGTTTGCTTCTGGAGATCTTGTTTTTGCCCCTGGGGGAGCGGACTTGCTTCTAGAGATGATGCTTTGATTTCTGGAGCAGCTGCGCGGGATTATGAAGAAACTGCGCGTGTTTCAAGCTTTGCTCAGGTGGCGGGCTCGAGCCTGCAAAGATGTAAGATCCGCGTGGGAAAAACGAGCCCCCCGGATCAGACTCGTCCCCCTGTCTCCTCTTTACATCCCTTTCTGTATGCATGCATCTCCCCCTGGCTCTCTGTTGCTGCTTATGCTGCCCCTCCTCCCTCCAGAACCTTTTAGCTGACAGACGGCCTGAGGCATTTTCGGCGATCACATTGCGAGAGCACGACCGGAAACAGTGTTTCTCTCTCATCGCTGCCGCGATCGCCGCTGAGGGCCCGCCGGGGCCGTCGGAGAGAGGGTGCACGCTTGGAGGGTCGGATCCGCAAGGTGCGGGGGCACGCCCGCGGGCGCGCCTCCTCTCGCTGCCCCGGGCGCGGGGCAGGGCCGGGAGGGCCGCAGGCCCGCCAGGCAATCGGTGAGATCGGAATGGGCACGGAGAGAAGCCGCAGAGGGAGCCTTACCGCTGTCGGTGAGCATCGCTTGACCGCCATGCCCTTGCCTCGCGGTTCCCTAGCTGGGCCTCGTGGGAGTCGTGGGGAGCCTTCGTCGCCACCGCCGGATCCGCTTCGAAGTTTTGGTCAGAGCGCACTCAGGGAGAGGTCCGAGGAGCATCGTTGAACCGACCCCTATCCTTAGGTCGGGCATGCCCCCCTACAGGGGGATTTTGGACGAAAGATTACACATAATCAAAAAATGCAACAAATGATTAACACTGTTAGAAAAATCGTCAACCGACTATTCTTTACAAGTTTTGAATAGTTCTCCTGTAGAGGGACGCAGCCGACTTAACCCTATCCCCATGGACGTGGTCTAGACCCCACTCGCCGATCTACCCCCCCCCCCCCCGGATGGGGATGTAGGCTGCTTCCTTCGGGCTTGGAGGGGTATATCCCCCACTGGGGTGTTCAGATGATAGGGCTCTGGACAGGGATGGGGAGGGGAATGGGGATGCAGGCCGTTCCCTTCGAGCTTCGAGGGGTATATCTCCCACCGGGTTGCTGAGATGGCGGGGGTCTGGATGGGGATGGGGATGGGGATGGGGATTGGTTAATTCGACGATTCTGACCAGAACTCTGTCGGAGATCTGCTGACCCGGGGTCGGTGCAGACCCAGGCCAGACATCGGACATCGGACATCGGCCTGCAGTCGAGGTGCCGCGGGTGCACAGCAGGTGGGTGCCGGGCCCCCGCTATGAGTGACAATGAACGGCGATGGGACAGGGCACAAGCGAACTAGACAAGAAACACAGAGGGAGGGAGAGAGAGAGAGAGAGAGGGAGACACACTTACACACACTTACACACACTTACACTTACACTTACACTTACACTTACACTTACACTTACACTTACACTCACACTTACACTTACACTTACACTTACACTTACACTTACTCTTACTCTTACACTCACACACACACACCCACACACGCAGAGGGCGGACAGAGGACAGAAGCAGTCAGGCAGTGCAAGGTCCTGCAAGATCCTCCAATAACTTGCGGGATGCTGCGCGCTGGCCCGGGTCGCTGCAACCCTGGCTTTGAAGGATCCTGCAAAAACTGTCACTCCCCCGTTTGCACTGACCCCCGTCTCAAAACTTCTGGCTCTGGATCCCTTTTCCAAAGACTGGCCTTCACCTGGCACGATCGGAAAGGGTACGGAAGGGCACCAAGACCAGCAGAAGCTCCTGTTCATTTTGAACAGGACTCGCTGTCGGTTTCGCCGTGGACGTTGGCCGTTTGAGACTGTAGGGCGCCTGCCCAACAGCGGCTGCTGTCGGTCTTCGGAAACATTTGCTGCTGGGCATCGTGCCAATTGTTTCCGTACCCATTTCGGGTGTTCAAACTCATCCTGCGTCGTGCTCTGAAGGCCCCGAGGCCCCGCTGGACGAAAGACTCAGCAAAGAGAGGTGTGCACTTGCGTCCGTCCTGGCCCACCCTGGGCCCAGGATGCGTACTCGGCCAGGAAGGCAACTGCACCGATCCTGGGCCCAGGATGGGCCTGGCCAGGATCGGAGTACGCTTAAGCCGGGCCTGTCCTTCTACAGGGGGAATATCAAAATATCGCAAGGAAAAACAATAGGTGGAAGATTTGTTATACCATTTTTGATTGTTTTGGAATATGTTCAAATTTTTATTTATCGGCAATAATCCTCCTGTAGGGGGACATGCCCGACCAAGGATAATTACGCACATATTTCTTACCGCCCGAAGGGTAAGGGCCCTTTGAGGCTGAAAATGCGTACAAATCGTCCGCCCTCACTGTTGCCACGACGTGGGCCGAGACATCCGGCGCCTTGATTTGTAGCAGGGCTCCCCCGGCCCCCGACATCTCGACCACTTCCCTGGGACCGGTTTCATCCCAAGTCATGTTTGACGGTCCCGAGACCTATGAGGGCCCAGGGAGGCCGAATACAATGAACAACCTCCGTCTCGATGTGTTCGAGACGCCGGATGTCTGGGACGGGAGAGCATGCTGCTTCGCACGATCTCGATGGCAACGGCAGGTAAATGCATTGGATCCGCTAGGATGCTTCTTCATGGTTGTGGGGCAGCTGATTATACTGCCAGTTCATGCCCGCCCGTCTCCGGGGGCCCATTTGTTTCTTATTCGCGATCACGCCCGTGACCAGCCCCGAACCTCCCTCCCCACACCCTGGTCACGTCACGGATCTCGCGCCGGCGCCGTCTGGGAGTCAGCCATCCCTCAGATTTCCCAAACGGCACCGGCGCGAATCGGGACGTGACCGGCCCATTCCCCATCCCCCCCCACCGGCAGCGCCTGTCGTAGCCAGGGGACGAAACACGCTCTCCATGCCCACCCCGCCCCCGGCTCCGGGCGCCGGGCGCCCCTCGACGCAGCGATGGTCGGCGAGGCGTGGACCCTGGCAGGAGGAGGAGGAGCAGGAGGAGGAGGAGGTCATGAACGCTACAGGCATAGCTTTTCTTGTTGGAGCAGGAGGAGGAGGAGGAGGCGGGAAGACACGGCCCGCGCCCGTCGGCGAGCCGCAAGGCCCGCACGCGCGACCCGCGGCCCCCAGCAGGCGCGCCAACGCCATCCTCCGCCGCGACAAGCATAGCGCCAAAAAGGACGAAGAGCAGGAGGAGGAGGAGGAAGAGCAGGAGGAGGAGGAGCAGAAGGAGGAGGAATAGCAGGAGGAGGAGGAGGAGGAGGAGGAGGACGAGGAGGACGAGGAGGAGCGCCAGCCCATGCCCACCCGCCCCGTTCCGTCTCCAGGGGGCTCCGCCGGCGCGGGCGCCCAGGACCCTCCGCCGCAGGCAGGGCCCGCCCGAGGCGGCCGCTCGGCCGATCGCGCGGGCGTCCTGCGCTCGAGGCGCGCCGCCAGCGGCCGCGGGCACCCGCGCCGCGGCAGGCGCGGGGGGCGGCGAGGGGCCAGCCGCCGCGGGGTCCTGGGAGAGCTGTAGATTCGCGACGGCAACGGGCGCCATGGAGGGGGGGGGCCTCTTTCCCCCCTGCCGTCGCCGTCGCCGTCGCCGTCCCCGTCGCCATCGTCGTCGTCGTCGTCGTCGTCGTCGTCGTCGTCGTCGTCGTCGTCGCCGTCGTCGTCGTCGTCGTCGTCGTCGTCGTCGTCGTGGTCGTCGTCGTCGTCGTCGTCGTCGTCGTGGTCGTCAGCCTCCTCCTCCTCCTCCTCCTCCTCCTCCTCTTCCACCTCCACCTCCTCCTCCTCCACCTCCCCCTCCTGTAGTCGTCCTCGGGGGGCGAGAGGGGGGCGGCATGACGTAGGGCCCCCCTCCCCCACCCCCCCCGCCATGTGGGTCCGGCACCGCAGGCTATCGTGCCGGACGTACTGCGGCAGCGCTGGGGACGCCCTGTGCGGGGGGGGGCAACGTTATCTTAACGCTCTTTTATACTGCTTGTTCCCATCTTGTGCCGCCCTCTACTGTCCTCCTTGGCTTTGCCGTTAACGAGATTCCAGCAAGTCCTCTACCCACGAGCCTCGTTTTGTCAAATTGTACAGCACCGATGGTGAGCGGTCACCCCAACCTGTTGCCCAGCGCGAGGGCTTGGAGGTGCGTGCTGGACGTCGGCATCGGCTGGACCGCCCCGGATAGAATCGACGAGAGCTGCCCGTTCATCTGGGCGGCGGAAGCAGAGGTCTTCGAACCCTACTCGGACGACTTCGAGGACACGGGGCGACGGGGTGGAGTACGGCTCCAAGGCGTCGGTGATCATGGCGCAGTGGGCCAGGTGGAACAGTCTACCTCAAGACGGGCTCGAACCAGGGCATAGTGATGCTGCTGGTGTCGCGGATCGGCAAGGCCAACAGTACGACATGGACAGCAACCGACCCCTCGCTGAGGGTCCAGGTCGTCACCCTGCGCGAGAGTTGTTCCCACAGTCAAGAAAACACGACGTCGAAGGAAACGCAGAAAATGTTAGCGAATGCCCGATTTGAGGAGCTGGCGTCACGGTGAACAATATCTACATAGAGGTGGATGCTTCACACGCTGCGCTACAAATCTGGTACGAACCCACAGAGGCAGACGCTTAACTTGTGGCGCGGTTTCGTCTCCACAGGAACATACACCGTTCATTATTCATCTCCCCTTCATCCTCTTGATTACATCTTCTCCATCATTATCCTCATCATCTCCATCCTCATCATTAGCAAAATTACTTTGAGTAACCAGAGCTCTTGCCAATTGGAGAGACACCGAGCGAAACGACCGCCGTGAGCGAGTCGACCGCCAGGCCCTCGGTGAGGGCGGCGGAGACAGAGAGGTGTAGGATCTGTGGACATGTGATCGGGGGTGGTGAAGGTACGCAGGCCAACTACACATCAGGTTCGCTAAGACACTGCTATGTTCGAGCGTTGGTGATTCCGACGCTGGCGTGCAGAAGTCGCCGTTACTCGACCGTTGGCGCCCATCACACACATAGACGAGGAGGGAGGAGTGGGTGAGGAGGTGGGCAGATGTTCGAGTGCACGGGGGAAGAGTAATGCAGTGTACCCAGAACTCGTGGTGAGGGCATGTTTACTTAAGACCCTCGGTGAGGGCATTAGTGTCCACATCGCAGCTTCCACTCCAGTGCCAAACTTTCATCCCCTTCATCATCATTCTCATCATCATCTTCTTCGAACTCATCATCCGCAGCGTCATATTCAAGTGACCCCAACCTTCACCAGCTGGAGAAATACCGAGCGAGACGACCGCCGCGAGCAAGTCGACCGCCAGGCCCTCGGAGATGGCGGTAGGGATTGAGACAGGGATGGCGGAGATCTGTGGCAGTGAGAGGAGGAGGTGGTGGAGGAGGATGATGAATCTCTGTGGGCGTCTGCAGATTGGCCCTGCACCGACCTTCACGCGGAATGGTTGAGATCTGATGGGGTGGGCGTGGAACCACCCACAGCATCGGCACTGTAATTGGCGTCTCTCGGCACAGAATAATCCCGACGGCATCCTTACAGCGGCCCTTTCATCGAAGATGTATCGGGGAGCGGAGGATCCAGATGTGGAGGAGGAGGATACGACGCTGGCTGGGAGCGGCCGCGCGGTCGAGGTCGCGCAAAGGCCGCCACCACAGAGAGAGGCCAGCGCAAGCGCCGCCTCACGCCGTGCAAGGAGGCAGCCCCCCCAACCGCGGGATCACGGGGACCAGCCGCAGGCGAAATATGGAGAAGTGGTGGCATCAGGAAAAAAGTATGAGCACCACGGGGAGCACACTGTCGGGTGCTCCTCTCGCGCGGGGCAATCCCTAGCCAGCAGAAAAAAAACAGCAGGGGCCAAAAGACGGACCCACGCATCTTCAGGATCAGAAACCTGGAGAGGCCGCGGCCCAGGGATCCTCCGCCAATCTGGGCGGCCTTCGTCAGCAAGATGCCGACCTTCCAGAAGCAATCTTCTATTCCGAACGGCACGCTCTGAACAACGTTCTTTGCCATTACAAACGGCGAGGATGTGTCCCGACCTGTGGAATGAAACCCGCAGGAGACACAAAGCACACATTGCCCCGCCGAGACCCACAGGCGATGGCCTCGGGAGGCCTCGGCAAGGACAATCCCCGAGGACGGGAGGGCCCGACTCGGCACAATATAAGCAGTCGTACGTGGCCGCGGGTTTCGGACAGCCTCCATTTCCGTCTTCCTACGCTTGGACGGCGCAAAGGCAGGCCTAGAGCGGTCGGGGGCGGAACATCCTGCAACAACAGCCTGCATCTCGGCAGCCCCCGCCGTCCTGTCCTGGACGATCCGCTCAAAGGACACCCGTCGTCGCGTCGAACGAACACGAGAGGACCCACCAGAGTCAGACGCCCCAGACCCAGGCGGACCGTCTCCAACGAGCCCCCGAGGGACCAGAGGACCCACGCGAGGACGAATCGAGCGAGACGCGTCGACGAGAGGAGAGGCGGCACGACGGCGAGCACCGTCGCCAATCCCAAGGGCGGGATCGTGCTCCCCCCCACACCACCGCGTCGCGCCTCACCCGCTGTCCGAGGTCGCTGGCACCGCCGAGGTCGTTGGCATCGCCAGCAGCTTCGACGCTGCCGAACGGCGGCAGCCCCGAAGCATCAGGGGAGGAAGGACCCCCACCAGCGGCGCCAGGCGACGACGACGCCGAGGAAAGTTGGCCACCACCCAGATCCAACCCAGGAGCCCGATGACCGTCCTTGGAGGCGGCAGAGGCAAGCATGCGAGCAGGGCAAGAGAGAAGGTAGAGACGATCCCGAGCCTTGACAGTCCTCGAGCACTTCATGCAAACTTGCGACGCTACATGGATCGTCCGTGGACCCTGGAGAAAACATACCGCAGATCGATGTTGATGACCGCGCCCTCCTGGTCCCCCTCGTAGCGGAGCTCGGGAACATCGGGTCGCTGAGCTCCCTCAGCGAGGCGAATGTGGTCGAACGCGCCCAGTGGCTTGGCAAGGGCGACGATCAGCGCCCGTCAAAGCACTCCGGCCGACTCTCTGCCCCCGACTCCATACAAGTGACGGACCCTCTGGGGAGGAGGTCGTGATGAGCGAGGCGAGAGCGTTGGAGCTGGGCCCAGGGAGTCAGAGGTCCAGTTCGCGCTCCGTGCCACTGCTGCACGCGCTTCCCGCGGAAGTGGTGACTTCAACGTGTCTTTCGAATGCTGCGAGGAGTCGGCCGAAGAGAACAGTGCAGACGACCCCATGCGGTCATGGGACAACCCCGTCAAAGGGAGCCCGCTGGAGACTATCGCGGCGGTCCTCGGGCCCTCTGCGAGCGGAGCGGCGTTGATGGAGGCCGACCCCGCCGTCTGCGCCACCAACCAAGCCAGGTCTTTACAAGCAGCGAGGGAACTGCTCGGCCTCGACACGGACGGGTCCGCCAGCGAGACCGACCAGGAGGAGGACCTCGAGGAGCAGGACGCCCTGCTCGACGCCGCCCCCGACGCCGTCACCCACGCCGAGCGCCACAGCGTGCCGCTGCGGGTGGCGTGGGCGGACCTGGAGGACTCTGAGAGCGAGCGCGACCAGGCCAATCCAGAACAGAACTGGTGGACCTGGACGGAACGCGCAGCGAGTGACTCCCTCGGGCTCGACTCTGCCAGCGAGACCGGTCAGGAAGCCCTCGGGGCGCAGGACACCGTGCTCGACGCCGCCCCAGACGCCGAGCGCCACCACGAGCCGCTGCGGGTGGTGGGCGGACTCGAAGGGCTCCGAGAGAGGGTGCGATGGATTGCAAAAAAACTAAGGATTGCAAAACAATCCTTCGAAGGATTGCAAAAACACCCTTGAACGAAGGATTGCAAAGAAAAACCCGAAGGCTTGCAATCCTTCGGGTTTTTTTTGCAATCCTTGGTTTTTTTGCAATCCTTCGTTTTTTGTTGCAATCCTTCGTTCGAGTGGGGCAGATGCACGCCCGCGACTGGGCCAAGGTGACCACCACGAGCCACCGCCCCGCGGCCAGAGCAGCCCGCCCCCGGCCGAGGCGTGGCCAACCGCAAAAAGCGGCGAGGCCAGCCCCCGAGCAGCGCGGCCAGCAGCGCGGCCGGCGCAGCAAACGACCAGGCAGCGCGGCCAGCCAGGGCGTCCTCCAAAGCGAGGCGCCTGGCCATCCGTCCCCTGGCGGATCAAAGGGCCCCGCAGTTGATTCTTCGCCTCGCGCCGCCCCCCGTCCTGGCGGGGCTTTCTGCGAGCGCTCCCGCCTCCGGGCATGTGGGAGCATAGTTCCAAGCCGTTCTTCCGACGCAGATCCTCAGCGGCCTCGGCCCTGAGCGGATCTTCCCCCAAGGTTATCAATCCTTGTTCGGTTGTTCCCCTCACCTAGCCCCAACATGCCGCAGCTCGGAGCTCTGCGTCTCATCCTGGACGGGCGCGAGACCTTCCCGAGGCCTCCGACCTTTGACCCTAGGCTTCAAGTCGACCCTGGACCCTTCAGAAAACAAGAGAAAAGCTTCCACAGCCCACCTCAAGATGGCTTGGAAGCTCTTGAGGCCAATCCTCCTGGCGTTACGAAGCGGCCCAGGTACAGCGTGAACGTCGCGACAATTCCTAGCCCCTAGATCAGCCCAACGAATGCCGATCGCGTCACGGGAGTTGCCACTCTGGTGGGCCTTTACCAACTGCGCAGAGCTGCCAGCAGCAAATCCTCCGTGGTCATCGATTTTGGACCATATCTGCTCCTAAAGGTCGACCTTGAGGCGTCGAGGAGTCAAACACCAGGCAGGCCCGAAATCCAGGCCATCCGCGAGGCCCTTGAAATCAGTGCAAACAGTTAAGGGCGGGACCGCCACCCGAAGGACCTGGAGGAAAGCGAAAAGCTCGGCCAGAGTGGAAGTCTGTACAGGCCCTGGCATGTGGACCATCATGTGGAGGAGGAGGAGGAGGAGGAGGAGGAGGAGGAGGAGGAGAAAGAGGAAGAGAACGACGAGGACGAGGAGTGGCGGATTCTTGCCGCAACCAGGGCCGTTTCATAGGCCCTTTCACCTCTGCATGCGAGCACTGCGGCGCTGTGCGTGCCGCTGACCGTAGCATGTCAGGGGGCGCATGGGTGGGAGAGGAGGACAATTCAGCAACTCACATCGCCATCTCTTGGCACCGCGCTCGGAATATTGAACGAGTCGCAGCTACTTTAACCCTCGGTGAGAGCAGTCGCGAAGATGGACGTGCTGAGGGAGAGGCGGTGGTGGGGAAGAGGGGGCTGGTGGAGGAGGACAGCAACCTACTGTGCGAGTCGACCGCTGCGAGCGTCTTGACCGCCAAGACCTTCGGCCTCAGCATTGTTCAGGCCGCAGCGATGGCAATCCAGCTCGACGTGCAAAAGCATATCGGCTCGAATCGAGCTCAGGGCATCAAACATCGGCCCTGTGCACTGCAGGCCCTCGGTGGGGCCACATCTGCTCTGTGGAAAGGGTCGGGTAGATGAGGGGGGAGGCTGGAGGTTCATCCTTGCCACACCCAGGCGATGCAGCATCAACTGTCTCACTTTTCTTGGTTCTCGCCGACGCTCGCTGCTGCAGTAATTACCACGGCCTGACCTTGACTTCACTGTCCTAGTTGAATCATATCGTAATTGTTTACTGCGCCACCGAAACGCAGCAGCTTCGCCGCTCATGTTTGCCTAACGCAAAAAAAGGAGGGAGGGAGGGAGGGAGGGAGGGAGGAAGCAGGAGAGATCAGCAGGAGGTAGGAGGGATCAGGAGCAGGAGCAACAGGAGGGGAAGCAGCAACAGGGGGCGAGGCGCGGGAGGAGGCGAAAGGGCTCCTCCCCGCGCAGCGCGCCGATGGCCTGTCTCATCTTGCGGATGTGCGCGGGGCCTCGGGGGGCGGGCGGGCGTGCCGGCTCGTCGTCGTCGTCGTCGTCGTCGGTGGTTCTGCGCGCGGTGGTGCCGCGCCTCCGCGCCGCAGCGCCACGCCAGCCCGCCTCCGACGGCGGGCGCGGCCGGGGTCCGCGTGGCGGGGGCCGTCTGGCGGGGCGGGGCGGGCAGGTTTCTGGGGGCGGACGGGCAGGCTCAGAGGGTGTGCGCGCCCCCCCCCCCCGACCCCCTCGGGCCATGAACGAAAATCACGACGGGAGGCTTTGAGTCACTCTCGGCCTCTGGGGGGACTCGCGGGGCCCCGGGGCCGCCAAGAAAACGGCTCAGGATGACAAGCCGGCCCCGTGGAAGAGGTCGAGGCCTTCAGGGGTCCACGCCGCGAACAAAAATAGCACGACGTCGGGGTCTCGGCCCCTCGTTTGGCCATGGGGCGGACACACCGACGCCTGGCCCGAGGTGGGCCCCGGCCAGGCTCCGTGAGGCGGTCAGCCAACGTCCCCCGATTCCGTCCGTCCCCACTTCGACCCTCCCAGAGAGGAGGATCCAAACGGGGAGGAGGAGGAGGAGGAGGAGGAGGAGGAGGAGGAGGAGGAAACGGACGAGGAAGAGGAGGAGGAGGAGGAGGAGGAGGAAGAGGACGAGGAGGAGGAGAAGGAGGAGGAGGAGGAGGAGGAGGAGGAGAAGGAGCAGGACGAGGAGGACGAGGAGGAGCAGGAGGATCCAAACGGGCACGGACTGGGACTCTCTGGGTCGCCCGCCGTCGCGCCCTCGCGGCACGGTCGGCGCGCCTGCTGCCTCCGCGTCCCTCGCGCCGAAGGGGAGGAGCAGCGGTCCTCAGCACGCGCGGCAGCGCCGGCGCGCGCTCGTCCACCGAAGCGCTGCACCACGGCGCGGGCGGTGTGGTTCGGGTCGGGCGAAAGGGGGGGATAGCAAAGGGGGGGTTTGAGAATCAGCTCACGTAGCTGATTTTCCCGGCGTCGCCAGGCGCCGGAGGCGGCTATGTATCGAGGAATGGGCCCCTCGGTGAGGCCGAAACCAGCTGCATGCAGCAAATTTCGTACCCCCCCCCCTTTCCCAATCCCCCCCTTTCGCCCGGCCCGAGACACGGGCTGCGTGCGGTCGGTGGAGCTCCGCGGGGCAGGACGCCGTTCGACGCCGCGCCCGCTCGCGCACGGCGCGGCCGGGCCCGGGCGCAGACGCCGAAGGGCGACCTGCGCCCGAGCGGGCGGAAGGCGGAGGAGGGCGGCCGCGCGGGGGGGGGAGGGCCGTGAAGGGCTTCGTGAGCCGTGCTGTCACGAGGGGGGCACAGACACGGCACTCGGCCCGCATGCGGCCTGAGAGCCCCCGAGACGGACGGCTCTCCAGCCGCATGGGCCAGCGGCGCGCGAGATCGGGGGAACGTCGAGGGGTACCTCTCTTCGCGCGCCAGCCCGGGGACCAGGCGCCCTCGGAACGAGGGGTCGAGGAGGCCTGAGGCTACAAGCATCGATCGGGCTCGAGGAATCGATCGGGTTCAAGGGAACGAATGACCAAGAGGACGGATCGAGGAGGCCCGAGGCTCGAGGCTACAGTCGAAGAGTGGCCACAAGAGCGCGGGTCAAAATATATCAGAAGCAAGGGTCCCTTCACAGAGGGACCGAGGCCTCATGGAGATGCCCCAGGCAAGACACATTCCAGGGTGGAATGTCAAAACGCGCAGAACACAATGGTAACCCTTCCAATACTGGGGCGGTTCTGAAGCCTCGTGCTGGCTGTATGAGACGGCGCCCGAATAGCTAACAACGCCCAGCAAGGGGTGGGGGGGGGCCTCCACGTAGACCTCGGCAGAGGTCGGGGAGGCAGAGGCCGCCGAATTCGCCGACAGCCCAGCAAACCAGGATGCCAGGAGCGATCGAGGATAGAACCAGAAAGAGCTGCATAACCATAAACGTCGCAGGTCCGCACGGATTTCTTGAAGCGGCCCTGGCACCCCTCCCTAGCGCAGGGAGCTAGCGGGGGGCGGCGCTGGAGGCGCAGCCAGTGGGGCCCAGCGCCGATGCGAGAAATCCGCGCACACCTCCGAAGGACTCATGCTTATGCAGAGTTGTCTCCTTCGAGAGGAAGGATTCAGACGGAGGGGGCGTCCCTCGGGAGGAAAGCCAATCAAGGAGGAGCAGGAAGACGGATCGAGGATCCCGAGGAGTGGCCCACGGGCGGTGGCGGACGCAAGAAGAACCACGACGGGAGTCGCCGTCTGTGTCACCGTTGTCGCCCTCGCCGACGAAGTCGCGGTCGTACGGCCGGACCTAGGACAGAATAGCATCCTTCAAGAACATGCGACCCTCGGCTGGCCAAGCTGAAGAACATTCGAAGCTACCCTCCCCCAGGGTGCACAAGAACATCCAACAAACACGAATAACGTCAGGATACCCGCCCCGAACCGACATCGAACTCATACCTCGGTCCGACCGTACTACGTGCCGGCCAAACTGAAAAACATTCGAGGGCACCCTCCCACAAGAAGAACAATACCATCCGGCAAGCACGAAAAACATGTGAGTACACTCCCCGAACCAACCTCGATCTTATACCTCGGTCCGACCCTACTCCCCAGACCTCTCCCAGGGTGCATTCTGACCAGGAGTTGGAAGAGAACCCAGCGGTGGCGACGAGGGCCTCGCAGGAGGCCCAGAAAGGCGAAAACGAGGGAAGGGTACACCCCTGTTTAGCGGTATAGTCAACCCGAACAGTAAGGATGCGCGACAAGGATGCAAGGGCCTTGGGCGCCCATTTCGAAGCGTTTCGAGCGGGGCGCGGCCAACGAAAGTGTCCAAGGACGGACCCGGGAGGCAAGGATGCCAGGGTACCCTTGGGAGGGATGCCTATCCCTACTATGCGGGTCGACTGTAGTCAGTCCGACCAGGCTACGACGACGTCTCCACCTTCCGCCGAGGCCAGGCCCTGGCGGACCGACGACGGTCGGCGGCGGCGGCGACGACCAACACCCGCGCAGGCCATCGGTCCCCGCACCCCGCCCGGGGCGCACCCTGGCCGGCTTCCCGGGCACCGCCCCGCTGGGGCGGCGAGAGCCTCCAGAAAGGGCCAGAGACATCCGACACGACGTTGGCAACAGCGACGACGACAAGGACGATGATGACGAGGAGGAGGAGGAGGACGAAGAGGAGGAGGAGGAGGAGGGGGAGGAGGAGGAGGGGGATGAGATGGAGGAGGGGGAGGAGATGGAGGAGGGGGAGGGGATGGAGGAGGAGGAGGAGGAGGAGGAACAGGAGGGGGAGGAGGGGGAGGAGATGGAGGAGAAGGAGGAGGAGGGGGAGGAGGAGGAGGAGGAGTGAACGTACCTTGAGGCGGCCACGCCTGTCAGCCCAGCCCACGCACAAGCCTGCCTGGAGAGAGAGGCAGCGCGTGAGACGGCGGACAGCGGCTCAACGCCACAGGAGAGATCTCGCTGCGGCCATCGCCGCAGCAATGTTTGCTGGCGACGGCGCTGCGTATTGCTTCATTTTGTTGTACAGGTGGAAGGCCAGAGCGATCCTGCGAATCGTCTGCCGCAACGAGAGGTCGCTGGCAGGTTCGGAAGGGTACGCTGCTGTGGGGCCCAAGCCCCAGGACGTATATGTGCTGAGGAGAGGAGCGGGGTCGGGGGACCACAGGAGGCTCAGGAGGACGGAGCAGGATAGGTAGTGGGGAAATGAATCAGGTGTGTTCGGGCACCCGAACACGCACGAGCGCTGGGCTAGCACATGCATGCGGTGGGTGGTGGCCCACCCGCCACTGAGCGTTTTGAAAACCGCCCATCGCCAGCTGGGGCGGACCTCTCCGAGCGCTTTTGTGAGAGCTGACCAGCGGCAGGCGAGCTCTGGGGGCGGCGGCGTCAGCTGAAGGCCCCACGTTGCAAGGCGCTTCGTGAGAGTGACTGTGAACGGCGAAGAGAAAAAGGCACGCTGCAGAGCGAGCGCGACCGCCCTCTGTACCTTCGGGCGACGCGGCGGGTCAGCAGCAGGTGCCTCGCGAATTTCGGCTCGTGCAGCGCGGCTCGCCAGGGCCACGGCTGCTGCAGAAAATGGCGAGACACGCTGCCCGCAAGACAGGGCACGGTAGAACTGCACGATGGACGAAGTCTCTTCCCAGAAGGGGGGGGGGGGGGGCAGCGCCCTGCTTCCCACCGAGGGAAGGACTGGATCGTGCTCTCCTCCCAGGCGGTGTCTCGCAGACGGTGGAAGAACGGTTTCCATTCTCCACGAAGTGTGAAAGTGGCTGTACGGATGGCTGCGGCGACAGATGCGACTTGAGCCGATCGAAGGACAGGTGGCGGGCTCCATTCCGCCATCGAGATGAGATCTACCTTCCGGAAAGAGTTGGGCGGCATGCTGAGCATTTTGTGGAAGACATACAGTTCACGGCGAGCATTCTTAGAATCGAGCGGGAAGAGCTGAGCAACGTAGCTGAGCGTGGACAGGACGGAAGTGTTAGATAAGCGAACTGTGGCATCACAGCCAGACTGGACGAGATTGAGCAAATTACTGCGTTGCCACCACTTTTGCCCTGGGGCGAGCCATTGAAGGGCAAGGGGGGAGGAAGGTCCAAGAAAGGTCCCGAGGTACTTGGCTCGCCCCGAAATCGCGAAGCCACCCCAGGAAGGGCAATGGTCAGCCAGGAGCGCTTTCGTTTGGGCTGTGGTGGCAGGAGAGACAGGCGCCCACAGAGGCACGACTACACACTTGCGGGGTTTGAGGGGGAGAAGCGCGAGCTCCTCTGCGGCAGAAAAAGGCTCAGATGCCTTGCGCAGCGTGTCGAACGAGAATGTGAGCAGGCCAGTGTCGTCCGCGCAGACGCCGAGGTAGCCTTTGTCGTAGTCGGGCGCGCCGTCGGGGTGCTCGATGAAGGAGGCGATGTGGCGGGCGAGCGGGTCCATCGCGATGGCCCATGCCGAGCCACTGGCGGGGCAGCCCTGCGCGACGCCCGACTCGATGGCGAACGTGAAGTGGCGGATCCCGTCGACCT